ATCAGATTAAATATAGAATTACCTTAAAAGAAGTTCTTTAGGTAATCTTTTATTAATAAGGGCTTCATCATTTGACAGTGCCTATTTAAAAAAAAACAAAACCCACACACTTTGAACAACTCTTTAGCAAAATCATGTATTTGTCTCTGTGCCAAAAAATCAAAAGACTATTTCAAATAGACTGCATTCTTTAAATAAAAAAGGTAATGTTTACATGAACATAAACATTTGAAATAGCTTTCTGAATAAAAATATATGCCTCACATATACAAGTATATCAAATTGGATACAGAGAACTATTGACTTGATGTGCCATCAAGTCGGTGCCAATCCTTTCCACTGAACCTAAACCTTCCCCCTCCCCAAAACACACACACTCTCACACCCTCCCCCTGCGATTTCTCACCTTCTGCATATAAAGCCCCCTGCCTTGTAACCTCGCCCGGACGAAGTCACCTACACGGACCTCAGCCAGATTCTCTCTCCCTCAGGGGCGCCCCTCCTACCAGCCGCTTTCTGCATCTCCAGTTGCCTCCCTCACCACCATCCGATAACCCTCTTCTTCCACCCAACTCATCTAGGTAGCCTTCGAGGAGGAGGATGACGACGACAACTGTTATTATTATAACATACCGGGACACAGCAGCAGCGACACTTTCCATCTATTATCCACCCCGCTTTCCTTATGCGCCCTGCCTGGCTAAGTGCGGCCTCCTGGACGAAGAAGACTCACCATGGTCAAACGCAGCAGCGATAGTGCGGGACGCCGGTCCTCCCGTGACGAAGGCGCCATTCCCGCCGCCAGACGACGCGCGTCTGAAACCTGCGCTTGCGCGACACCCACCAAGGAGAGAGGTCGGGCGGCGGGCGGGGTGTTTCTCGTCACATGACAGGAGAAATGGCCCTGCTGCCTGGGAATCTGGAGGCTGGGGCTTCGGGATCACCGGACGGTCGCGAGTTGCTTGGACGGACGGAAGGAAGAAAGGAAGTTAGCTAGCTAGCTAACTGGGTTGGGGTCTCACATCATGCTAAGCTGTATTGCCTGAACTCTGGCATTACCAACTATGATTTATGGATTAGTGTTGTGTATGAACCAAGTTAGTTGTGGTTTATTCAGTAAATAGTGGTTTAAATGAAGACTTAGTGCAATGTGTGAACATAAGTGAGAGTTTAATGGTGCTTAACAAATGTGTCAGTATTTAAGACTCCATTGATTAAGAACTGGATATGTGGGACTGGATATGTGGATATGTAGAACTGGATATGTGGGATTTTGCATTACAGTTGGAGGGATCTCCTCCTTTGGCTCTGCCAGCTTCCTGCCCAAGTGCATCATGCAGCTTCTGCTTATATGGGTAAGATAGTACTTACATTGCCACCATCCATTCTCCTGGAGGAACAAAATGCCATGACCAGGCTCCTCCTACTTCACACTAGCTAGGGAGAAAGATGGGTATCTCACAACCTGTACAACTTACCCATAACTTGGACATGACAAGGAGGAGGAGGAGACTGAAAGAAGAAAATTCTTTGCATCATTTGTCCCTAGTAGGGGAGATTTCTTCCCAGTTTACTTCACCAGCTAGCTGATCCTAACCAATCCCTGGTTCCCTAGATAGCAGGCCTCTGTCAATATATTAAGAAAACTTC